ACCATGGCCATCTCAGAAACAGCAACAACAAAGAGAGAACTAAACCCATCAAAAACTACAAACAAAGCTGGGCGTTGGTGGCTCACGCCTTTAATCCCAGCACTCGGGAGGCAGAGGCAGGTGGATCACTGTGAGTTCGAGACCAGCCTGGTCTACTGAGCGAGTTCCAGGACAGCCTCCAAAGCCACAGGGAAACCCTGTCTCGGGGAAAAAAAAAAACTACAAACAAAACAGCACAAAAAAATGGTGTATATAAAATTAGCAAATGGCTAGGTTGGGGAGTTTATTATTTATTTCTTTACTTATGTGTATGTATGTATACCTGCATGAGTTAATGTACAGGTACTAGTGCAGGTGCCAGAGTGGGGCATTGAATCCCCTGAAGCTGGGGCTCCAACCAGTTATGAGTCTCCAGCTATGGGTGCTGGGAACTGAACCCAGGCCCTCTGCAAGAGCAGCAAGCACTGAGCTATTTCTCAGTGCAATCGGCAGTGTGTATGCAGACACTGCGGTTCCATATTTATCTATACCCACAGCCTCCCTGGGTCAGTATTAGTTTTTGCCATGCGGCTCTATCAGAGGGATGCATGAGTGTTAGAGTTCAAACCCGGACTCCATCGTCTCACTGGGTGACCTTGGGTGAGGGTCAGAGCCCTCATTGCCTTTATTTTTGTAGCCGGTTATAATCTCACATTGCTGCAGAGCCTCGTGGCGAGGATCAAATTAGACCATGCAAGTGAAACACCCTGCATCAGCCAATTAGGTGCCCTCCCCCAGCATGAACTTGGAAATAAAATTGCCCTCCGAGTCTTAAGCCAGTAAAATCTACACATCACGGAGGAGAAGAGCCAGGTGGGGGAGTGAATGAGGCGAGAGATGGTTTTGTAAACGACTGAAGAGTTTTGTGAACGGTGCAAGTTGCAATCAAGGTGACCCGCCTGGAATCTCAGGGAGGCAGGGCGAGAGGATGTGATTGAAATGGAGAGAGCAGTGGTCTAATCAATCGCATTGTGCTCTATCTGGAGGGAACAGAAGGCGCTACTGAAATGGGGGTGCTGAGGAGGTTCATCCAGCTGCTCTGCAGGGAGTGATGGGGAACCTGTAGACACAGGGATGCTCTGGTCTGTTGAAGAGCAGCCGGGGCCTGGAGAACTCCAGATGGTTCACTGCACTGCTGGGCCTTTACTGAAACCACATGGGCAGCAGGCAGCAGGCAGGGCCCCAGGAGGCAGACAAGAATATCCTGGTTCCAGGAAAGGGCTGTGGAAGCTGAGTACTAAATCCGGGGCCAGAGACTTGGTCTCAGTCCCTGATCTATGGCTTACATGCTAGACACCTTCAAAATTTTGACTTAGGCAGGGCATGATGGCATATGTCTATGATCCCAGCACCAGGAAACCTGGGCAATACAGAGGAAGCCTATCTCAAAAGAACGTGTGTGGCGGGATACGATTTCCCTCACAGTGCCTCAGTTTATCAGAACAGTCTCCTGTTTTCCTAGGCTATGTGAGGTTGAAATGGCAGCATACCCTTAGCAGACACCTGGCATGCAGTCATGCAGTCAACATTCTGTAAATGTCAGTGGCCGGCAGCCGGCTGACATTGTATTAAACATTTTACAACTTACCGAAATTAAAAACTTGCATAGAACCCCATAGCCAAGTTTGAGGCCAGCCTGGTCTACAGAGCCAGTTCCAGGACAGCCTTCAAAACAATACAGAGGTGCGGGGTGCGGGAGAGGGAGCTGGGATTGACATATGAAGCAAGCTCTTTTCTAAAAAAAAAAGAGAAACCCTGTCTCGAAACGCCCCCCCCCAAAAAGAACCCCATAGTCAGCCAGGGTAGAGGCAGAAGTCAGGGCAGGAACCAAAGCCCAAGAGCTGTGTTCTTAACTGTTTGTTTTGTTATTTATTTATTTATCTATTTTTACTTCATGTGCATTGGAGCTTTGCCTGCATATGTGCCTGTGTGAGGGTGCCGAATTCCCTGGAACTAGAGTTACAGTTGTGAGTTGCCCTGTGGGTGCTGGGAATTGAACCTGGGTCCTCTGGAAGAACAGCCAGTGCTTTTAACCACTGAGCCATCTCTCCAGATCTCCTCTTAACTGTTGACTTCTGGCTGGTACATCAGGTTCCTGTGAATTCCATTGGTTAGGAGACTGTGGTCACAAAAAACCTCGGTGCCTACGAGTTTGTCTGCAGAGCTAAGGCTACCATCCTGTGACAATGTCTCTGAGCAGCCACTTAGATTCCACTCGACAAACCCCAGCACAGGGAACTCTTAGTAGACGCCACCTTGCCGCCTTACCTTTAGACCCCTCAGCTTGGCTGAAGTTTCTAGGGAATCTTTCTGCCAATAACTAGAGAACACACACACACACACACACACACACACACACACACACACACACACCACACCCTTTCGAAAGCCCAGTGGGAACGCAGTCTGAAGGGACTCTGGGCTTTGTATAAGATCAGCTCTGCAGCATGCATCTGAGGGATCCAGGCATATCATGTAACCCTGGGACCTCCATTTTCTTATCCAGTGGAACTAATCTTAGAAAACAGTCTCAGCATTAGAGTACATGGGGGATGGAGGCAAACACATCTGCTATTCAGCAGGCACTTTGTTTGTTTGTTTGAGGCAGGGTCTCATAATGTATTCCTGACTGGCCTGGAACTCTCTATGTAGACCAGGCTGGCCTTAAACATGGACATCTGCTTGCTTCTGCCTCCCAAGTAGTGGGACTAAAGGTGTGTGCCACCATGCCCGAGTCAGTTTAATATATTAAACTGGGCATGCTGGTGCACATCAGTAACCCTTACATTTGGAAGGTGGGAGCAGGAAGATCAGGAGTTCAAGGTCACTGTTGGCTATGTGGAGAGTTTGAGGTCAGCCTGGGTTAGATGAGACCATACCTCATTTTTTTAATTGAAAGATAAGTTATTATTTATTTATTATTTATTCAGTCTAAGGGAACTCCTCCAGGACTGGAATAGATCTTACTCATTTTTATGTGCCCAGGGCCCATCAGAATCAACTCTTGGTAATTACCTAGCACAGCAGTGGCTTGCAAATCCTGGACTCTTTCTCTGATAGGAGAGGTGGGAATCCATATTTCCTACTCTCCTTCTTTCCAGACAGAGGCATGTGAGCTACCAGGTTCTCCAGGAGGATTTAGGAGGTGGGACCATTCTTTTATAGTGCAGAAGTACATTAATGATTGTAGCCTGATGGTGGTGGCACACACTGTTAATCCCAGCACTTGGGAGGCAGAAGCAGGCAGATCTCTGAGTTCAAGACCAGCCTTGTCTACAGAGTTCCAGGACATCCAGGGCTACACAGTGAAACTTTTTTGGGGGGGTTGAGACAGGGTTTCTCTGTGTAGCTTTGGAGCCTGTCCTGGCATTCGCTCTGTAGACTAGACTGGCCTTGAACTCACAGAAATCCATCTGCCTCTGCCTCCCCAGTGCTGGGACTAAAGGCATGCACCACCAACGCTCGGCAGAAGCTTGTTTTACTCCATCTGAATTCATTTACTCTATCTGAATCTATTTACTCCATCTGAAACCCTGTCTCAAGAAAAACAAAAATAACCCGGGGGTTGATGGCATATGCGCTTAATCCCAGTATTCGGGAGGCAGAGGCAGAGGCAGAGGCAGAGGCAGGCGGACCTCTGTGAGTTCAAGACTAGCCTGGTCTACAAGAGCTAGTTCCAGGATAGCCTCCAAAGCCACAGAGAAACTCTGTCTTGAAAAAAGAAAATAATAAATAAATAAATATAAAAAAGCCAGGTGGTGGTGGCACACACCTTTAGTCCCAGCATTCGGGAGGCAAAGGCAGGCAGATCTCTGTGAGTTTGAGGACAGCCTGCTCTACAGAGCCAGTGCCAGGACAAACTTCAGACCTACACAGAGAAATCCTGTCTTGGGGAAGAAAGATTGTTTACCACCCCTGATTCCCCCTAATAGGCTCTCCTAGTCACTATAACAAATAAAGATACTTCCAAAGGTCTCCAAAAGCTCCCTGGGGTGGAAAAGAGCTCCCTCAGTGAGGTTCCATGAGCTAGGCCTCTTCCCTCCTCCTATGCCCCGTTTTGGAGAACCTAACTGCTACATTCTTCTCCATGCTTGTGCTGTGGGAGGCCTAAGACTGTCAGTGGTGGTTTGAATGTAATTGGCCTCCATAATCTCATAGGGAGTGGCACTATTAGGAGGTGTGGCTTTGTTAGAGTAGGGATGGCCTTGTTGGAGGAAGTGTACCACTGTGGGGGCAGGCTTTTAGGTTTCCTATGCTCAGGATACCGCCCAGGGTCTCAGTTGACTTCCTGTTGCCTGCAAGATGTAGAACTCTCAGCTCCTTCTCCAGCACCACATCTGCCTGCAAGCTGTCGTACTCCCTGCCGGGACAACATTGGACCCAATCTCTGAAACTGTAAGCGAGCCAATTCAATGGAATGTTTTCATTTGTAAGAGTTGCTGTGGTCAGCAGGGCCGTGGTAGCACATGTCTTTAATCCCAGACTTGAGAGGCAGAGGCAGGTGGATCTCTGTGAATTTGAGGCCAGCCTGATCTACAAAGCGAGTGCCAGGTGCCAGGACAGGCTCCAAAGCTACACAGAGAAGCATTGTCTTAACGCCCCCCCCCCCAAAAAGTCCCTGTGGTCATGGTGTCTCTTCACAGCAACAAAAACCCTAACTAAGACACTGTCCCAGTGTGCTTGTGGTGGGGGGGAAATGGCTGGTATGAATTAAGGAATTAACTGTACACAGATTCAAAGTCACATTCATCTGTTTCCAATTACCTGTTTTCTGTATCTCAACTCATGGTAAACTGACATGTGAATGACCAGTGGGACTTTGGGGTGTTCTGAAACTCCAAGCACTGGGTACCTTGAACTTAGGAGGCAAGAGGGAGCTCCTCACTGTCCACCAAATCTGTCCTGCTCACCTCCTGTGGACTACCATCCCTTCCCAAAGATGGCTCAGAGAATTTTCATGCTCAATGTTCACAGCATCATTGTTCTTACTTACATAATGAATAGCACATACACATTAATCAGAGGGGCGGTGAGCCTTCAACAGCTCTCTCCCTCAGCCCTGGGCCTGGACCAGAGCATCCAATCTGCAGGAAGCGAATCAAGCAAAAACGTTCCCTGCCATTGTGACTTGGAGAAACCCAAGAGAACCGAGAACAGTAATTGAATTCTCAGGGCCTGGACTGGAGCAGGTGGACAGGAGGTAGGAGAGCAGGAATAAGAGATAAGTGAAGGAAGGGAAATACAACTTTATAAATAACTAGACAAAGTGTTTTTAGGAGGTGGAAGAAAGACGCTAACAGCGCGAAGGAGCCTAGTGGGACAGGAAAAATGGTGCCTGGGGTCAGAGTGTGTGAGAGATGAATTCTGAGCATCCATTTACCCCATCGGAAACATGAGTGGGTGCCCTAGATTTTTGGAAGGGAAAAGAGAGTGCTTGGGGTCAGAGAAGGTAAGAGATGAGATCCTGCTGGGCGTTGGTGGTGCACACCTTTAATCCCAGCACTCAGGAGGCAAAGGCAGGTGGATCTCTATGAGTTCAAGACCAGCCTGGTCTACAAGAGCTAGTTCCAGGACAGCCTCCAAAGCCACAGAGAAACCATGCCTCAAAATCCCCCTCCCCCACAAAAAAGAGACAAGATCTTAGCTTCCATTTGCACCATCTATAAAATGACTTCGGAGCTCCTGGCCTTCTCGAATTCATAGGGTTCCAAGTCTGGGGGCACTGGAACCAGAGAGCCCTGGGAGTTGGCAAGGGCAAGCAGATACTCCCAGAAGGTCACTGAGTCCCAGCAGGGCTATGTCTGGTCTCCAGGCTGGTACTGTGGCTCTGTGGAGGTAAAATAGTCTTCCAGGAAAGACTGCAGGTACTCAAAGGTGGGCCTCTCCTCTGGATCCAGACGCCAGGTCTGCTCCATGACTTCATACAGGGACGCTGGGCAGCCCGGGGGGCATGGCATGTGGTAGCCATGCTCCACCTGTTCCAACACTTCTCGGTTGTTCATGCCTGATGGGTGGAGCCCTGTCAGCGGTGCAAGGAGAAGGGGGGGAGAAGCCCCTTCCCCGTGACCACACCCCCAGCCCCCAGCTCACCTGGGTAAGGAACTCGGCCCTTGGTGATCAGTTCAGTGAGCAGAATCCCAAAGGACCACACATCTGACTTGACAGTGAATTTGCCAAAAAGGGCGGCCTCTGGGGCTGTCCACTTGATGGGGAACTTGGTGCCTGGAGAGATTGGGGAAGGCAAGGTTAGCAAGGGGGGGTCAATGGAAACTGCTAGATTAAGAGAATGAGGACTTTAGGATTAGGCCTCTTGGGAACACTGGACATAGAAATTTCTGTGCACAGCAGAAAAAAAAATCTGTTATCTATGTAGTCAGCACCTACTGTGTGTCTAGTATGGTGCTGAGCACTTCCACAGTTATGCTTCTCATGACAAAATATTAGAATGTTGTGTTGGTGGCGCACGCTTTTAATCCCAGCACTCGGGAGGCAGAGGCAGGTGGATCTCTGTGAGCTACAGAGCGAGTTCCAGGACAGCCTCCAAAACAAAAAAGAGAAACCCTGTCTTGAAAAACCAAAAACCAAAAAAAAAAAAGATATTAAATGTCTCTAACCTTTACTAAGTTTTACCAAGTTCTGGGCAGTTTTGTTTGTCTTTGCTTGGGTTTTACGGTGCTGGGAGAAAACTCAGTCCCGCTTCCACTGAGCAAGCATTCTCTAATGAGTTATACTGTCCCCTCCCCTTGGCCCAGGTATTGTTTTAGGCAATGTGCCTGCATTGTCAACACTTGAGTCCTCGCTATCATTGGCCTCGTCTTACCAGTGAGGAAAAGAAGATGCCAAATAAGTTCTTTGCCCAGCTCACACAACCAGCAAGTGTCTGAGAGTCACACAAGGCGTTCTGCCTACAGATCGGGCACTGTTATACTCCATTGCCTTCTGTTGAAGACTCACAACAACGCCTGGTACTTAGTCAGTAGCTGGTAAATGCTTATTGACTTACTGTTGTCTATGTATTTTCATTTTATCAGAAATGGCAAACCACAGAAGTTAGGTAACTCAAGATATGTGGTAGCAAATGCTTGAGCTGGGACTTGAACTCAGAATTACGTTTGCTTTCCGTCAGGCTGGGGGAGGGGGGTTCCAGTATCATCAGGGATGGGGAAGGGTTTCTGATTATGTGGGGTAGCTTTTAATCTCTGGGGAGGTCACCTTGGCGGGGGTTGTACTCATTATCCTCTATGAGGCGTGCCAGCCCGAAGTCCGCGATCTTGCATATTAGCTGTTCCCCCACCAGGATGTTGGCGGCTCTCAAGTCTCGGTGGATGTAGTTCATGCGCTCCATGTAGGCCATGCCCTCGGCTACCTACAGAGGAGGAAAGGAAGTGACAGGCAGGACCTAACAAGGACTCACCACACCGTAATTGGACCTCAGGGGTGTGTGGGAGTCACCTGAAAAATCCACTCTCCTGATGGAACCCCTCCCCCACACCACCACAGTCCAGCACACATGGGGACTCAACAGCATCCTCCTGCCTCAGGTCTTAGAGCTCATAAGGTGGGCTAGGCTGCAGTTTTAGGTGTATGAAGGCACGTGGGGTTTATGAGAGGATAATAGGATAGAGGTCTGGGAGATGAAACCTGCTAGCCCAGTTTACCTGGGCGGCCATGTCCACTAGATGGGGCAGCCTCAAGTTCTGGCGTCCTCGATCCTTTAGGAAATCCAGCAAGCTACCTAGGGAGAAGCAGCCAATATGCCTTCTCTACATTGGTCTTGCCCCTATCCTGCTAATCTAGCCTCGCTCTGCGCCCCATTCTGCTCTCTCACCTGCATCAACCCTCCGAACCCCTGGACAAACCCCACTTAGACTCCTCCCCAGGTCCGCCCTCATCCCAGATCCTGCTCCGGTTTGCTCAAATGGATCCACTAGTTGGCAAACCACCTTCTACCAAGAGGAGGCTCCACCCCCTGCCACTGACCCCGCCCCTCGCTGGAAATGCACCTGTGTCCAGTACCGTAACAGGCAGCGGCTGAGGCCCCACCCACCCACACCCGGCCTCCTACTCTGCTCCTCACCGTGGCACATAAACTCTGTCACAATATAAATGGGTTCCTCCGACACCACCGCGTACAGCTGCACCAGCTTGTCATGCCTCAGCAGCTTCATGATCTGCGCCTCCTCCAGGAAGGCCTTCGGGGACATGGTGCCCGGCTTCAGCGTCTTCACCGCCACCTTCGTGCTGCAGTTCCACGTGCCTGCTCGGCGGCCGCGTCTCATCAAGCCCGGCTCCCTGCCAGCCCTGCCCCTTACCCCAGCCCCCAGCCCCGGGCCCCGAGACCTTCCTACCCAGCCACACTTCTCCAAAGCAGCCGGTGCCCAGCCTGCGTTCAAGCGCTATGGAGCTACGGTTGATCTCCCAGGCATCCTTGGCCAGGCCCAGCGTCTGGGGCTTCATGGTGGTACAGGGCGCCGTGAGCAAGTAGCACAGGCCGTCATTCACTTCTGGAGGAAGGGCAGACAGGAGGGGTCACAGATGGGGCATATGATAACTCTCCCCGAAATCCTAACACAACCCAGCGTCGGGCCTCAAGCTTGGCTACAAATAACTGGGCCCTAGTGGAACACGGCGGTTCATGTCTGTCATTCCGGCACTCAGTGAGAAAGGAGGACTGTAACGAGTTTGGTGCCAGCCTAGGCTACAGTGTTTTAAAAAAAAATCTAAAGAAACAAAAGTAGTTTGCCTTCACAAGGCAGGATTAAAAAAATTTTTTTTTAAGTAACTGATACATGGTTTAGGTCACAGTTAGGAAAGAAGGCAGTTCAGGCCTCCGAGTAGGCCAACTTGTTGGTGCCCAAGGAAGAGGATGGCATAGAGGAGACACCATCCCCATGGGAACTTCATGGCTCTTCCTGGGAGGCAGCCTCCAGCAGGGCCTCTCCGGATAAGCACTGGTTCTGACCAACAGGCAAAAAGGGAGGTGAAGCTCTGAGAAAAAACTGTGGACATGCAGCCCATGCCTCATGGACCTCATCCTGGGTCTAACGGCTAAGACGGAAACAGCCCTGGGAGGAGCACCATTGCTTACTCCCACAACCGGGCCTCCATCTGGTCAGGCCCGCGCCTGTTCTGATTGTCTGTGCAGTCCCTGATTCCATCTGGCCACTGTCTTTGCCTGGGCAATGACCACAGCAGCCCAGGGACCTCTCCTTCTGCCTTGTCCCTGGCATCCCGAGAGCCTCAAAGTTCAGACCAGCTTCTGCAACCCACTGCTGGGAGCAGTGGTTCTCAACCTGTGGGTTGCAACCCCTATTGGTTCTCAACCTGAGTCACAGCCCCTTTGGAGGGGGTTGAATCATAACTTCATAGAAGTTGCATATCAGACACCCTGCATAGTCAGATACTCACATTATGATTCATAATAGCAAATTATAGTTATGAAGTAGCAACAGAAATAATTTTATGGTTGGGGGATCATCACAACATGAGGAACTGTATTAAAGGGTCCCAGGATTAGGACATGTGAGAACCATTGGCTTAGAGCCTATGATGGTGACTCTGCCTAGGAAATACAGCAGGGCCAGGACTGGCTTCTGCAAGTTGTCCTCTGACTTCCACACAGGGCACACACACACACACACACACACACACAGAGAGAGAGAGAGAGAGAGAGAGAGAGAGAGAGAGAGAGAGAGAGAGAGAGAGAGAGAGAGACGGCTCAGCAGGCAAGTGTCTGAGGCCCAACCTGATAATCTGAGTTTCATCCCCACTAGGTTGAAAGAGAGAACAAAGTTCCACAGGTTGTCCTCCGACCTCCACACCCACGCTCTGGCATGCATCCAGGCATGAACCCCTCCCACAAATAAATAAAATAAAATGTAACTTTCTAAAAAGTCCCGCTGGTTTAGGTCTGGAAGCGTTCCCTACTTGGACATCAGGAGGCACCACTTTGTCTTTGCCACCTGGGGCCTCAGTTCCCTCAGAACCCACACAGGGCAGGATCCTGGCTGGAGACGTGCACACTTGGTCCAGTCAGTACTACTACGGGGATCACTTCCTTCTCTAGGTGCCAGCCTCTCCATCAGGACAGCACACCAGCCTCTCCATCACGACAGCACGCCGTCTCCTGGAGCTGCTCACCCATGTAGTGCCGCACCAGGTCCTGCACGGATTCGAATTGGGCCCGTGTGGTGATGTAGTAGCCGCCCGTATCCAGCTTTCGGATCTTATAATGCTTTATATGGTCGCCTCTGTTCTGGTCCCAGTCCCGGATGGACAGGGAGTAGGCACCTGCGTGGGAGGGGTCACTTAGTCCTCCTGTCCCTCAGACTGAGAGCAGGAAGCGGCATCAGAGGTAATTCCCAGAGCCCACTTTAGCTTTGCCTCTTAGCCCTGACCCAAGCACCCCACCCTCCCCACCCCCACTCCCCACGTCCCCGCCTCCCTCATCCCCCATCCCCCACTCTCCCCACCCCCCACTCCCTACCCCCTCCACCTTAATGGCAGGTGGCACAGAGTGACACCTTAACCACACACCTTTGGTTGTTTCACTCTCCCGAATGAGAAAGGCCCCCTGAGGGTTGCCAGCTGAGAGAAGCTGCCTCTCCGCATCCTTCCTACTGATCTTCCCAAAGTACCACCTGTGAGGAGAGGCCCATAGAGTCAGACACATTCTCTTCAAACCCCAGTCCACCTTCCTGGGAAGTCACCTCACAAGCCTCGATTTCCTGACCTGAGAAATGGGCTGTTACAGTCTACGTGATGCTATAAGGATCACAGAGAAGGGAGATGGAAAAGTGTCTGGCACACATAGTAGGTGCCTTAAAAGACCAGGATCCTCCTTTCTACCCACTGGTGTCTCTTGAATTAAAATTAAAGCAGCAAGCCGGGCGTTGGTGGTGCACGCCTTTAATCCCAGCCCTCGGGAGGCAGAGGCAGGTGGATCTCTGTGAGTTTGAGGCTGGGCTGGACCGATAGCCTCCAAAAAAAATTAAAGCAGCAAATTCTAGGCCAGTCAGGGCTACATAGTGAAACTCTATCTTAAAAATAAAAATGTGTATAATCCCAGCACTCAGGAGGCACAGGCAGGCAGATGTTCCAAACCAACCAAGGCTGCACAGTGAGACCCTGTCTCAAACAACCAGCCAAACGAGTGGAACCAGGCCATCAGTGACCTCATGGTCATCGCCACAGGGCCCTTAGCTCATCCCACTAGAACTCTCCACAGCCCAGTTTACAGAGGAAGAACTCAGGGCTCAGAAGGGAACTGACTTATCCACCGGGCCAGCTGACGTGGACCGCCTGAAGTCCTCCCCACCCCAGTTCCCTCCCCCCACACCAGGTGACCATTCAGACTCCTACTCCACCCTAGCCCCTGCTTCTTTCCCCCACTGACGGTTTCTGCGACTGAACTGTAGCCCCAACCCAACTGTGCAAAGACATGGGGGTGGGTGACTGAGTGACCACACATGCCATAGAAGATTCCGTTGTCATCTCCTCTGGTGGCTGAAGTGACCATACCACGTGGGCTCAATAGAAGGGAACTCAGGCATGGCCAGTCTGTACCTGGGCACTAGGCAAATCTGGGGGACAGGAAGAGCCCTTGGCAAATGGTGTGCCTAGGAGGGCAGACGGCAAAGGGAAACGACTGAGGACTCTGTAGCCGGCATTTTCCAAAACCTCCTCCACCCCAGCCATGACGTTAGTAACTTCCTTAAGGGTCAACAAAGTCAGTCAGTACTGAGGAGACTGAGATTCTGAGTGTGCGGCAGCCTGAGCTACATAGAAAGACCTGCTTCAAAATAAAAACCAAACCTTAATAGGCTGGGCACTCTTTCTGTGGTGGACATGGACCCTGCACATACATGTTCTCCCTAGTAACGTTCAGAGGGAGGTGCCTCGTTTCAACTCGGACACGGAAAAGGAAACTGAACTAACTGCTTAGTGGTTAAGCAAACTTGCCCGAGGCCAGGCTGTGACTCCCAAACAGGAGCCCAGTTGTCTACTCTCAATCATGACGCGGCCCTGAGCACTTCAGATGTCAGCACGCTGTCCAAGCTGTGCACACAGCATGTGCTCCAAGCCCCGGTCCTTGGCTTCGCTGCCCCATTACCCTTCCTTTATGCTCCTGTCACTCTTTCCACAATGTGGCCTCATCCCATTTAGGCGCTGGACTTGCCCGTGTCCCTCTGCTCAAGAAACCCAACCTCACCCCATGGACGACTCCTCGAAACTGTCCCTCCATCAAATTCTAAACACACATACTTTCTTCCTTCCTAGAGGGAAGTTCTGATGCTACATTGTTGTTGTGCTTTAAAGATTTATTTATTTTTAATTACCGCATGTGTACATGCTTGTGAGTGCAAGTTTCCATGGAGGCCAGAAGGGGGCATCAGAAGCCCTAAAACTGGAGTTAATGAGAGTTGTCACCATGAGGGTACTAGGAATCGAACCCTGGAACTCTGGAAGAGTAGTCAGTGCTCTTAACTTCTGAGCCATCTCTACAGCCCCCCCTATTTTTTTTAAACAAAAAACTTATTGCATTTTATGTGTTTATTTTGTGTGTGCACATGCGTGTATGCATGCTACAACAAAGGAGTGAAGGTCAGGGTGAAATCTGTGCACGTTAGCTTTTTCCTTTCATCACATGGGTTTTCTGGAGATCAGACTCTGGCTGTCAGGCTTGACAGCAAGGGCCTTTTCCTGCTGAGCCATCTTCTGCATGCTAGGCCCTGGCTTCCCACCTTGCCTTCACTTAGACCACACTTTCCTCTTGGGTCAAATATTCTTTCCGCACTTCCTCACCCTCCCTCCTTCCTGGACTCTGCTGTCAGGCCTCACCTTTACTTCCCATGAGACAAGATTCCTTATGATGGTCACCCCATCGCCAAGGATGAGGGTAGCCTCAGACAGCCCTGCTTTCAGGGATTTCTTTCCTCCAGTCCTGGATGATCTACGTTGGCCTGGGTGATTTCCTCGCTTCTCCAGAGGCTCTTTTCTTCTCCAGGGCATCAAACCCCCCAGAGCCAGGTTCTTTTCTTCTCCAGGGTGTCACCCCCCCGTCACCCCCCCGCAGCCAGGTCCTAGGATAACTCTGTCCTCTCTGCCTGCCTCTCTCTCTCCTTCCCCTTTACTGCTGAGCAAGCTAATTGTCATCTCTACCCAGGTGAGTCCCAGTTCCCACCAGCACAGGTGTGCCATTGCCCAGGGCTACAGGGAACAAATGACAGAGTCTCGTGACAATTAGGAACAGGTGCCCCTTGCCCTGGGATAATGTAGTGGCATGGCCAGGTGCATCTCACGCACAGCACAGCCTGGTCTAGCTTCTGGCAGCTTCCTTTACCTGGGTGTTCCTCTCTACAAACCTCAGAACAACAGTCCCCCAGGGAGCCCACCTGTACCTCCACCTGTTCTGGTGTCCCCCATTTTAGTAACTGGTACCACACTTAACTTGCTTTTTCAAAAGATAGTGGATCACCCCCAATTCCTTTCCCTCCCCACAGTCCAACTACAAACCAATTGCCAACTCCTTAGGTTTCCCGTTCTGGTTTTGGATTGCACTTTTTAGAGACAGTCTTAAGTAGCCCAGGCTACCCTCAAATTCACTACAAATGCTGGGATTACAGGCATGTGCCACCATGCCCAGCCCAGTTCTTCAAAGTCTCTTTTGTCATTTTTTTTCACAAATGTGTGGGATACATGGTAAGGATAGCTTTTTTATTTTTTATTTTTTGAGGTAGGGGGAGAAAGTACTAAAGATGGAATCTAGGGCCTTGCACATGTTAAGCTACACTCCAGCCCCTCTCTGTCTAATTAATAAAATTACTTTTAAGAATTGTTCCCTTGCAAGCCTTCCTCATACTAAATATGCACTGTGCCACTGAACTATACCCTCAGTTCTACTAGCTTCTTCTTAGACTTAACTTAATTTCATGTGTATGAGTGTTTTGCCTCCATGTATGTCCATGGACCACATGTGTGCCTGGTGCCTGAAGAGGCCAGAAGAGGCTACCAGATGCCCTAGCACTGGAGTTATAGTTGTAAGTCACCATTTGGTTGCTGGAAATTGAATCTGGGTCCAGTGCACCTAACTGCTAAGTCATCTCTCCAATCCTATTTTGCTTTGTTTTTGTGGGTTCTATGTTTTGTTTGAGACAGGACCTCACTTCTTTTCTTTTTTTCTTTCTTTTTTTTTTTTTTTTTTTTTTTTTTTTGGTTTTTCGAGACAGGGTTTCTCTGTGGCTTTGGAGGTTGTCCTGGAACTCGCTTGGTAGTCCAGGCTGGTCTGGAACTCACAGAGATCCGCCTGCCTCTGCCTCCCGAGTGCTGGGATTAAAGGCGTGCGCCACCAACGCCCGGCCAGGACCTCATTTCTTACAGGCTGACCTCAAACTCACTACATCAAGGATGACCTTGAACTTCTGATTCTCCTGCCTCTGCTTCCCAAAGTGTGGGATTATAGACAAGTGCCATCATGGTTGATTCTGTATGGGAAATCAGATCCAAGACCTCATGCCTGCTAGACAAACACTCTACCAAGTGAGGCACATCGCCAGAGCCCTAGTTCCACTTTTTAGGTTTATCTATGTGTAGGTATGTACATGTGTGTGAGTGTTTGCTGTACATGCTCTTGCGCGCGCGCGCGCGTGTGTGTGTGTGTGTGTATGTGTGTGTACGTCTGTGTGTGTACGTCTGTGTGTGCGCAAAGCCAGAAGAGAGTCAGATCCCGTAGAGTTGGAGTTATCAATGGTTGTGAGCTGCCTGCCTGCCTGCCTTGGGTGCTGGGAACCAAACTCCAGACCCTGCAAGGACAGAAAGCAATGTGGACCACTGAGCAATCTCTCTAGTTCCTACCCCTTATAGCTTTGAAAGCTCATGGGTAGGCATCTCTGGGCATTCCTCCTACTCTCAGAAGTTCTTTCACGCTTTTCCTTTAAATCTACATTCTCTCTGCTAAGGTAGATGCTCAATAGCTAGACAGACAAATACATTTTGACATAATGCTACTCTTACAGATAGGCAAGGTACAAGCTGGCTTGCACCTGGTTTGTGTCTAGCTGAGTTCACACACCAGCTCCACACCTTACCAGTTATGAAAATTTGGATTAGATATTCATTTTCTCTGAACCTCAGCTTCCTCATTTTTTTTTATTGAGAAAAAAACAAATCTCATTATGTAGCTGGCCTGGAACTCACTGTGTAGACCAAGCTAACCTCAAACTCAGAGAGATCTATCCGCCTCTCCCTCCCACGTGCTAGGATTAAAGATGTGCACCTTCACACCTGGCTAGGTTCCTCATTTGTAAAATAGCAATAGTTTCTAACTTGATCACACAGAAACTCCTCAGTTACAGAACACAGCATCTACTGTATGGCATTATCTAAGGTTACCATCATCATCGACATCTTCTTTTCTTTTTCAAGATGGGGGAGGGGCAGCGGAGTGTTTCTCTGTGTAGCCCTGGCTGTCCTGGAACTTGCTCTGTAGACCAGGCTGACCTCGAACTCAGAGATCCTCCTGCCTCTGCCTCCTGAGTGCTGGGATTAAAGGTGAGCACAGCTGGCTGTCATCTGCTTTCAGCTCTACAATGACCATTTAACCTTGCAGATGAGGAAGCAGGCTGAGAGTGAGGCAGTCATTTCTAAAAGACGGCCTTGGAAGTTAGACACTAGGCTTTTCTCCACAGGGCTGGCCCCAACCCTACTCACTCTTCAGCCTGGATGGAATCCACAGGAGCCACATAGTTGCTGGGAATGTAGCCAGTGTGTCCGGAGCTCAGGGACCGAGCCTCCCACCAGTCACCTTCACTGTAGACACAGAACACAGGGGTGGGTAGTCAGCACTTGGGGTCCAGGTAGGGCCACATTACCTGGAGAGTGGCCCTGCCAATCCTCACCTTTGACCCCTCCCCACTCAGAGAGCTTTAGTCTGTCTGTCTTCCAGACACTGCAGCTGCCCTAGCTGTTTTCACCTGGGAAAGGACTGTTTGCAACCCCTAGGCTTCTTCTTCTAGTTCTTCCTTTGAGCAGGTACAATGGACGCTAACCAGGGTGCTCCCCACTGGGAACTCCCCTTGGCTACAGATTTCCTTCCAGATAAAACTCAGGCTTCACCACCCAGCTTTAAAGGCCTGTGGATTCTGACCTGCCTGTGTGTCTCCAACTTCTGCTTTCTATTCTAAATTGGATTCCTCCTCCTCCCCCTCTTCCCTCACTGGGACTCAAACCCAAAGCCTTGAGCTCTGTAGTCAGGAACACAGTCAGAGAGATGATACATGGTAAACAATGCCTTGGGGAACTTGTGAGAGTGACTCCAGGAAAAACAGGCAGAGGGACTTTTGCCTCAAATGCATTTTGTTTCCTGGGTTGTTCTTTGGACACGATTTTGTGCCTCCTTTGACAAACATTTACACATTCCTACAGTCTATCATTGGGGCACACTCCCAGACCTGCCGCTCACCCTCCTTCCCTTCCTCCCACTCTCCCTCCCTCTCTCCCTCCCTTTCTTTTTTTCTAGCTGTCCTAGAACTTGCTTTGTAGCCCAGGCTGGCCTGGAACTCAGAGATCCTCCTGCCTCTGCCTTCCCAGTACTAGGATTAAAGGCATGCAGCACCACTGCTCAGCATGTTTTTTTTTTAAATTTTTAGTATTTGCATGTATTTAGTGTGTGTGCAGGCATGTGTGTGGAGACCAAAAGACAATTATAAGAGCCATTTTCTCCTTCCACCATAGGGGGCCTAGGGGCCGACCTCACATAGTCAGGCTTGGTGGCAGGCAGCCCTTACCAGCTGAGTCACCCTCCCAGCCCCACACCTCATCTAGTATGCTTTACCCACATGCAACTCCTCTGTACTTTCTAGAAATAATGGTTAATCTTATTCCCTACTTTCTCACCTCTTCCTTCATTGTCGACTCATTTTTCCTAGTCTCTACTTAAAAATCTCTAGGAAGCCTGCCTCAATCACTGCTACTCAGGGGGCCAAGTTTAGTATTCTGCTTGTATCCCAAGTCCTTCTCCTTCCCTCTCCCTGCATGGTAGGCAGCAATCACTTAGTGTTTCCCTGTTGTCATTTGTTTGCAGTGCTCTAGATGGAACTCAAGGCCCACATGCTAGGCAAGTCCTTTACTGTGAGTTATAGTCCCAGCCCTCATCCAGGACTTTTATCGGCATGCATATGTGTCCCCTCCCAAGCTGGAACTTTCCAGACAGGGATCAGAGTTTACTCCTCTAGAGGACTTTCTTCCAGCCCAGGCCATACCCTCTCCCAGGAATCCCAGTCCACACCCTCCCCTAGGCAGCCCAGTCACTTACGAATTGTTCAGGATGTGGAACTTCTCGCCTTTGGTGAAGGATAAGTCTTCCCTTGTCCTGGCCTCATAGTCATACAGGGCGATGAACATGGTCACTCCAGTCCCTGTAGAGTCAGAGCTGCTCAGCAGAGTACCACATAGAGTAGAGAACCAAGGAGCCAAGGAGGCCGCACCCTGCATTCCAGTTCCCCACCATCACAATGTCTAGGTTCCCAAAGGAGTTCAGCGACCAGTGGGATTTCTGATTGGGTGTCACAGCTTGCCCCACTAGGTCCAGGATAAATAACCTCATGCCAGCCCTTCTCACTCTGGAAAGTTCCTAAGTTGCGCCTTCTTCCTCTTCCCCACCAAGATGTCTCATCTTCTGAGATGTCACTTAAGAGGATAGAAGTGTGTGTGTGTGTGTGGCTTTTGAGACAGAGCCCCTGAAACTCATGATGCTACTGTATCTGTCTTCCAAATGGAAATGTTCTCTTTGCTACATGAAATTAACACTGGGGTCCCTCTGTGAAGGGAACAGAAAAAAAACAAATTGGGCTCCTAGGGTATATTTACACACACTGACTTAGCTGTTGTGAGCTAGAGAATAGGGCTGTGTCTCCTATTCATTCTAGAGGCTTCTAAGGACAAGTCGGAGCCTCTCCTTAGTTTTTCCCAGAACCCAGGCTGCTGTTGTCTTTGGCTCTAGAGACCCACCTGAGATGCTCCTCATGGTGCCAGCACTAAGGAAAGCTGGGCTGGTAGGCTGAGGAGAGAAGGTCTGTGACCGGCCTTGACCTTTAGTCGGGTCAGGATAATATCGTTCTTCAGGCGCTTGACTCCTGAAGCCCCCTTCCAGGTCAGCATCCTCCTTGGATGCAGGCTCCAACTTCTTGCAGAACACACAGCCCATTCCAGGTGCCCGGCTGCAGAATGGAGACAAGCTTAAATCTGGGTGACCTGGCTGGTGTACCACCTGAAGCACACACAGTCCCACAAATTGGGGTCTTTATAAGTAAGGGCCACCTTTGGTCTGCCCCTAGCTGCTTTCTTTCTTCCTTTCTTTCTTTCTTCCTTCCTTTCTTTCTTTCATGCATTTCTCTTTACTTTATGTGCATTGGTATTTTGTCTGCATGTATGTCTGTGTGAGGGTATCAGATCTTAGAGTTACAGACAGTTGTGAACTGCCATGTGGGTGCTGGGAATTGAACCTGGGTCCTATGGAAGAGCAACCAGTGCTCTTAATACCTGAGTCAGCTCTCCAGTCTTGGGCAGAGCTCAGTTTATGAATTTTTGACTCCTGTTGCTTTGATGCATTATGTTTCTGTGACTCCTTTATGGTGTTTACTTTCCCCTATGTGTCTTTAAACATATTTGTCATGCATGTATGCAGTTCTTGGGGAATGTCTCTGTGTATAGAAGAATGTGTTAATCTTGGGACATAGCATGCATGAAACCTTGGGTTCAATCCCCAGTGCAGCATAGACTCAGCCGGGTGGTGTGGTCCTATAATCCCAGCACTTGGGAGATGAAAGCAGAAAGATCAGAAATTCAAGGCCATTTTTAGCTACATATCAAGTGTCAGGTGAGCTTGGGATACATGGAACCTCATATCAAAAAACAAAATTGGGCTATGTGTATGCATGTCTATATGAGTTTGGTAGGCAAGTGATTATGTGTGCCCGTGTGTGTGTGTGTGTGTGTGTGTGTGTGTGTGTGTGTGTGTGTGTCTGTGACTGTGACTGTACACAGCTCTGTGTGAAAGTATATGTGCCTCTGTGTCTGTGTGTCTGTGTGTATGTGTGTGTGTGTGTGTGTGTATGTGTTTACTGGTCTGTGTGACTGTACAAAGCTCTGTGTGGAAGTATATATACTTCTCTTCTCTCTGTGTGTGTGTGTGTGTGTGTGTGTGTGTATACAGTATACAGGCAGGTCTGTGTGACTGTGACTGTACATAGCTCTATGTGGAAGTATGTGTGCCTCTCTCAGTGTGTGTGTGTGTGTGTGTGTGTGTGTGTGTGTGTGTGTGCAGGCATGTGTGTGCTTTGTAATTCACATCTGTAAAGCTGCACATGTTTGAGAATGTGTGAGGGCAATGTGCCTGCACCTGGAGATTCCCTGCAGAGGGGGATCAAGGCCATTTCCTGTCATGAGTCCAGCCTCCAGCCTCTCAAGCTGCCTCATTCTGGCTCCTCTATCGGTTTCCTAGCAACAGGGCCCTTGTAGGAGGAGGAGGGGGCTGTGAGGCAGGCATTGTGGGGCCCAGGAAAGCGACCCCACCCTGTTCCCTGACCCTGAAAGCTTCAGCACACTTCACACCCTACTCACCCCACAGGCCCCTATTCCTGGGTCAGTAGGACTGATGCATGATCCTTGGAAGGTGCAGGAACCCTGAGGGTGAGACAGAAGAACATGAAAGATGAAGAAGGCCTTGTCAGTGTTTCTGCCAGCCTGCTGCCCAGATCCTACCCTCCTCAGGAAGCCAGAAGGCCCGTGTTCTGTCCCATCATGACTTCTACCTGCGTTGTCTCTCCCACCACTCCTGGACACCTGCACATCCATCTCCACATAGGACGCACCACCTGTGCCAACTCCTGCACACTCAGTCCCTCCTGAGATGTGGCAAAAAGACACACACAGGCACTGCCATACGTCATCACAGCGTATGCCTGAGTGTCTTACCAACATCAGTGCACACTCACATTCTCGAATGAGCTCTGGTGCACAATAACACACACACATCTGTACCTACACATATATGTATTATTATTATTATTATAGTTTTTCAGATAGGATAGGATCTCTCTGTGTAACTGACTGTCCTGGAACTTGCTCTGTAGATCTGTAGACCAGGCTGGCCTTGAACTCTTGGATATACACCTACCTCTGTCTCCCAAGTGCTGGGATTAAAGGTATTCGCCACCACCGCCAGACCACATACCTGTATATGTGCGCACACATATATGCACATGTATATCTGGATGCTTCTCAGGTTAGCACACTTGCACAATCATAGTTGTGCCCAGACTCATCTCTCAAACTCCAGAACTATCAAATAATTCATGCTTGGCTCACAGGACCTCTGTTATGATTGCCTAAAACCTTTCCCGAGAACCCTGCCTCTGCCCTCAGCCTGGACAAGTCCCAGCAGACCTATGTTCCCTCTGGTGCCAGAATGAAAGTGACAGTTACCTGCAGACCAGGATTAGGGAGAGGTCCTGGTCAGAAGCTGGGACCACCATAGTCTCTTGAAGAGCTTGGAACAAGTCAAACTTTTCCCAGCAGCTATATCCTTTGAGAAACTCCACAGGAAGGTCATTGAGCAAGGGGTCGTCACCCCACCTCATCTCCTGCCCCACCCCCTGCCGAAAAACTCCACTGTTGCAACACTCAACTCAACTCACAGAGGAACTGCCTGGGGAGAATGCTGGTTTCCTAAGACAGAGTGTTTGTTGTAAGGTGGGGCCAGCCTAGGGCCAGTCAGGGTCCTCCACTGGGGCCCTAAAGATCGCTGCTCCCATCCCGTTTTCCCCATGGTGTCAAGTCCTGCTCTTTTTATCTGAACACTCACCTCTTCCAGGAAGCTTTCCTTCCTGGAGCTAATAGGTCTGGTTGCTGGTTCAGTCACCTGAGAGTCCCAAACTACATCCTGGCTCGTCTCACTCTTCACCAAAATCATTCTTCTATGTGTGTTGAGGTGTGGGGCAAGCTGTGACAATAGGCCTGTCCCAAAGCAACTCCTATTCACTTAACCTTACTGAGATCTTCACCTCGGGATGTCCCAGCCCCAGGGAGGGAGGGACCAGTATGTCTGAAAGGGCCCAGCATCCCAGATTGGTTCAGGTGGGGGGGGGGTAAATGTGGAGGGGAGAGAGCCACTCTCACCCCCAGCCAAGCTGACGGGGTTTCAAGAAGAGAAGAGAGAGAAGAGATAGGGTAACATGGAAGCAAAGACTACAGGTGAGAGAGAAACTCCCCTCACAGAAACAGAAAGACATGCCACAAACCTGTACTGAGCCACACAAGACTTGTAACACAGCCTCAGACGTACATATCTTCTCAGAAACACACAGATCATACAGACTCCAAGTTCATCAATACTTATTTCCAGACACACACATTTGTGATCATAGCATATTCATAAGCAACACCCTACAGCACACACACACCATGTACCCTCTCCACAAGAAAACAAAACATTACAGCCCTTATTGTGTGTCTACTACTGCTTTAAACACTATGTCTGAACCACTTCCTTTTACTCTCACTGCAAACCCAGTTTTAAATATTATTATTATTATTATTATTATTGATGAAGCAACGGAGGCATGGAACTGCTTAGATATTTGCCTAAGGTCACACACATGAGAAACTCCATCATTTGAGACTAGAATCTGAGCCATTTCCCTGCATTGCTTGTCACGAGAAAGACTTGTAGCCCTTCCTGAAATCATATGCAAATACATTGCCTGGGTAGGACTGGCTGGGATGTTCACAGGACTCCCCAGGAGACCCAGCCGTCCCTGCTGGGAGGGCTCCTCTATGGGATACAAACTTACACAGCCCAGGGTCCCTCAGTTGGAACAATATTGCCATGCTGTATACCCAAGTGCCTATTGCTAGGGTATACCGCCCCCCCCCACACACACACACAAGGGAACTCCTATAATCTGTTTGCCTGTGAGGGAGGAAGGTTCAAATAGAATCTCTATGGGCTGAGTGTGAGTCCTGGCCGGGTTGACAGTGTAGCCAGCAGGCAGAACTGGACAGCCCTCAGGGCTCTGTCACCCCCAGATTTTGAGAGGACTGTTATCCTGTGTGGACCTGGCTTTCTGACATGAGTATATGAAGTGCTCAGGCATGGTGACCGGGGTACATTCAAGGCCAGGTGTAGGGAAGAACCACGGAGAATGTGATCTTGAACACCAGTGGAAAGATGGGTAGGAAAATGCCTCTGAGGGAGAGGCAGAGACTGAAAGAAACAGAGAGACAGTGAAAGACACTGACAACTAGGGAGGGGTGGAGATGAAAAGACAAAGACAGTGTGGTGTGCTGATTTGGGGGGGACGACAACAAACCCCAAGCCCTGATTTGTAGCATTTGCTAATTTCCATGGTGTAAATATTCCCACTGTGGCTGATTTAAAGCTACTGGAGCAACTTCCTGATAGCTTGGCCGGGGAAGGGATGCACAGAATGAGTTCCCCTGAGTCAGTGTTAGTGAGCCAGCACATGGCTGCCAGAAAGAACTGAGACCAGAGACAAAGGCACAGACATTCCAGGTAAAGAGTACCAGAAGACCAGAGTAGTAGTGTGCCCCCCATAATCCTAGCATTCAAGAGGCCGAAGCAGGAAGATAGCAAGATGGAAGCTGGTGCAGGCTAATTAGTGCCTCCAAACCAAGGACTAAGGACTTAGAGTGCTTGCCTGAGGCCATAAACTCAAGCCCCTACACTCAAGAGGGGATAGGATTGGGGAAGACAAGGGAGATGGTTCAGTTGGTAACGAGATTGCCACACAAGCATTGAGGATTCAATCTTTAGTACCCATGTTAAGGCTGGTGGTATGTAGCCGAAATCTCAATGTGGACAAGTGAGGTGAACCCTGGGACTCAATGGCTAGTTAGTCTAGCACTAAGTTCAGTAGGAAAAGAGGGGCTGGAGAGATGGTTAAGAGCACTGGCTGCTCCTCCAGAGGATCTAGGTTTGATTCTCAACGCCACATGTGACTCACAACATCTGTAACTCCAGTTTCAGGAGGTCCAACATCTTCTTCTGGCTCCCATTGGTACCAGACATGCACAGGTTGTACAAACATCTGTGCAAGACAAAATACCCATACACATACTATAATGATTTTACCACTTTAAAAAATGATTTATGGGCTGGAGAGATGACTCAGTGGTTAAGAGCACTGACTGCTCTTCCAAAGGACCCAGGTTCAATTCCCAGCACCCACATGGCAGCTCACAACTGTCCCTAACTCCTGTTTCAGGGTATACAATACCCTCATAAAAACGTTCATGCCAGCAAAACACCAATGTACATAAAATAAATAATAAGAAAAAAGAGATTTATTAGCTGGGTGGTGGTGGCACACATCTTTAGTCCCAGCACTTGGGAGGCAGGTGGGTCTCTGTGAGTTTGAGACTAGCCTGATCTATAAGAACTAGTTCCAGGACAGGCTCCAAAGCTACGCAGAGAAACCATGTCTCCAAAAAAAGATTTATTTATTTATTCTTAATCTTGCATTGGTATTTTCCCTGCATCTGGTGTGTTCCAGATCACCTGGAGCCGGGCGTTGGTGGCGCACGCCTTTAATCCCAGCACTCGGGAGGCAGAGGCAGGCGGATCTCTGTGAGTTCGAGGCCGGGCTGGACTACCAAGCAAGTTCCAGGACAGCCTCCAAAGCCACAGAGAAACCCTGTCTCGAAAAACAAAACAAAACAAAAAAACAAAAACCAGATCACCTGGAACTGGAGTTACAGACAGTTGTGAACTGCCATATCGATGGTGGAAATTGAACCCAGGTCCTCTGGAAAAACAGTCAGTGCTCTTAACTGATAAGTCATCTGTCCAGCCCCATATATTATAAATTTTTCTAAATTAAAAAAAATTTGCCCAGCGTTGGTGGCGCATGCCTTTAATCCCAGCATTTGGGAGGCAGAGGCAGGCAGATCTCTGTGAGTTCATATCCAGCCTAGTCTACAGAGGGAGTACAAGGACAGCCAAGGCTACACAGAGAAACCCTGTCTCAAAAAAGCAAAACAACACATTTAAACAAAAAATGGGGAGCGATTTAAGAAGACATCAGCATTGCCCACTGGCCGTTACACCCATACCCACACATGACATGTACACAAATATATATCCCCCCCCAAAAAAAAGAAGAAAAGAAAGAAAGAAATGGGGCTGGAGAGATGGCTCAGAGGTTAAGAGCACTGGCTGTTCTTCCAGAGGTTCTGAGTTCAATTCCCAGCAACCACATGGTGGCTCACAACCATCTGTAACAAGATTTGGTGCCCTCTTCTGACCTACAGGCAGACATGCAGGAGGAGCACTGTATACTATACAAATAAATCTTTAGAGAGAGAGAGAGAGAGAGAGAGAGAGAGAGAGAGAAGTGAAGTGACAGAGACAGAGACAGAGACAGAGACAGAGAGAATGGTTGATGTGAAGAGAGTCAGGGACGGGAAGAGGAAGTGACTCTGTCCACTCAGGCGTTGGCATGAAAATGACCAGAGATCTCTCTCCTCTTCCTCTTTGCTTTCACAACAAGCACTATCTCTTTAGGGAGTCATTGGTCTCTCCAGAAGTCTGGGTGGCAGTAACTATTAGGGAAAATGTGCTAATTTATCAAACACTTACACAGTGACTGGCACCTTTCCAAGACATTTCTACACATGCTGTCTTTAGTGACCTCCTGAGGCAGGTTTTAGTTTTAACCCTTATTGGATTAGGACACTGAGGCACAGCAATGTTAAGTAACTTGGGAAGTGAAACAATACCAACCAGTTTGGCCACCTCATGTACTCTTCTACTTTGCAATCTTTGAAGGAGCATTGACACACACCTCTCTGAATGCCCACTGTGTGCCAGCCCTTATCATAAATACAGCATGGAGCAAAAATGATCTGTCCTCTCCCCCTTTTCTTGTTTTTATTCTTGTGTATTTATTGGTGCGTGCGTGCATGCGTGCGTGTGTGCGTGCGTGCATGCGTGTGTGTGTGTGTGTGTGTGTGTGTGTGTGTGTGTGTGTGTGTGTGTGTCAGAGAACAAATTGGAGTCTGTCCCCTCCTTTCACCGTGAGTTCCATGGATCAGACTCAGGTTTGTCAGGCCTGTCAGCATTAACTTCTGAGTCATCTTGGATGAACAACCACACATCTCCCTGGCCCTCCTGTCTCTTTGTGGACTTTGGCTGCTTGTTAACATCAGAAAGGGAGCAGCGTAAGAAGTGGCCACCAGCAAGTCAGGGGCTTCTGTTTGTTCATGTATAACAATGCTAGTTTTGTTCTGGTGCTAGGGTTTGACTTGGTACACTTCAGTTGCACACTCTACCACTAAGCTGAACTCCAACCCCAAGTTAAGTCTGGTTGAAAGGAATCAATTCAGGAGCCCTATCAACGTTGGAATCAGGTTATGGGTATCACAACTAAGGTCTAACCCTGAACCACAGTGCTGCCCACTTCAGTATCTGCCCCTGTGTGGTAAGCGTGTTCTTTCTCTCTCTCCCTCTCTTGTCTTTTCCTTCTTCTCTCCCTCCCTGGCTTCCTCCCTCCCTCAAAGGCATACAGGATCTCTCTGTCTAAGCCTCCCCTTGAACCTGTGGTCTTTCTGCCACAGGGTTAGGAGTGAGCACTCGGCCTCCAGCTCTGTTCTTCAGCAGGCTGTAGCACTGGATGGAAGACAGCACATCTGAGCGCGCGTTTTCTCACCTGCGCCCTCTGTGCAGAGCGGTTGTGAGGATTTTGAGATGAGGCTCTGGCTCAGTGTGCAGTGGCCAGGCCAGGATGAGAACACAGCAGCAGAGAGGCCCACGGGCACTTGGTCCACCTGCCTCTTGCAGATACCAGAAAAGCGAGTTTCCTGAGGTCACACAGGCCAACTGGAGATTCAAATGACTGAAAGTCAGTCCATGGTTCTGTTCCTGGCATTGTGGCTGGGTTCTCCAAAGCACGGGCAGTATCGTGCTGTCCCTAACTGGTAAATGTCAGTCTTCCCACACGGCCAATGGCCAACTAAATCTGTCTGAACAGCCAACAGGAACCCTGCCTCCACACATCTGTGTCCCTGGACACAAGAGCCCGAGCTTCTCGTCCTTTCCCAAGGGTTTTATTTCCCAACACCATGTCAAGGAGATGATGTAGACTTGGGAATCTACAACCTGTATGAAAGAGAACCAGAGACAGGTCTAGGTTCAGATTCTGTCCCTGTGTAACAACTGGCTTGAGGCACTGGGCAAGTCAGTCTATCTCTCTAAGACGTAAGGAGACAGATCTCTTCCTTGTTGCTCTGGTTCATCAGATGCTGCCAAGTCCCTGAGCATCCGCCACGTAGTGGGTAGGTGCCCAGTGAACTTTCATTTCCTTCGCTCTCTTTGGAAAGGTCTCTCTGAGGTTGGGGGAGGTGGAAAGAGATACATGGCTGGCCAGGGCTGAGAAGAAAGAGAAGTTCCCAGAATGCAAGGGCAGTAAACCCTGAGGACTTCACCCAAAAGGAACTAAGACTTTGGGCAGTGGCAGGAAACCACCATCCTGCAAGAGTTCCGGTTTCTT